CCACCCGGATGTTGGTTACCTCCTTTGTCATTGTTTCTGGACAGCTTGTATCTGGGCACCCCCCAAACTCACAGCGTATTTTAGTGACAACTGTACAACACATTCTCATAACTTCATATGCATTGATGATATATATATTTAGATAAAAAAATGACTTTCAGCAGATCATAACCTTTCCCTTGATACCTCACACGGCCTGCTTTATATGCAAGATCAATTATATATAAATGAGGAATATGGGGGTTACAGAGCGCTCCCCCAAGGTATAGAATGTCACAAGGGGACCCTGATGCACCTCCCCCCTGGCCTGGGAGAGAGGGTGAAGAACCTCAGTAGAAGCAGAGGTGAGGCGGCGGGGGACGGGGACTGAATGGAAGAGGGGCAGTGGGTAAGCTGATCAGAGAGAGCCTGGGTGGGAGCAGAATTATTTACTGGGCAGGAGATGGGCAGATGTGGGGGTGAGAGCTCCTGCAGCAGGAGCTGAAAATGCCTTGACTCAATACATCTGGATGCGTGAGCACCAGTGACTGGCAGCCAAACCCTTTGGAGCTGGGCAAGGGGAAGTTGAAAATCAAAAGACAGACCGAAAGAAATGCGACTTCAGGTTTTCTTTATTTTTTAACCTAAACTCCTGATTGGTGGTGTCTGGCTCATGACTTTTGAGAGCTTGAGGTTGCCAACATTGCTTCTGTGGCCAGTTCCAGGGCAGAAGATGCCCTGTTTGGGGCAGAGAGGCTGGGGCTGCTGGTAATATGGACTTCTGTGACAATGAGGGTCCAGACATCCCAAAGGGAGAACCCCAGGAATTAACCTGGGGCAGGGAGTGTAAAACCCCAGGAATAATCAGTTACATCAACTGATTACATGTGGTGATATTGTATTATTAAAATATCGCAGGTAACTGTGTTAGTCTGTATCCACAAAAACAACAAGGAGTCCGGTGGCACCCTAAAGACTAACAGATTTATTTGGGCATAAGCTTTCCTGGGTAAAAAACCACTTCTTCAGATGCATGGAGTGAAAATTACAGATGTAGGCATTATATACTGACACATGAAGAGAAGGGAGTTACCTTACAAGTGGAGAAACAGTGTGAACAAGGCCAATTCAGTCAGGATGGATGTGGTCCATTCCCAGTAATTGATGAGGAGGTGTCAATTCTGGGAGAGGGAAAATTGCTTTTGTAGTGAGCCAGCCACTCCCAGTCCCTATTCAAGCCCAGATTAATGGTGTTAAGTTTGCAAATGAATTTTAGTTCTGCAGTTTCTATCTCTGAAGCTTTTTTGTTCAAGTATGGCTACTTTTAAATCTGTTATAGAATGTCCAGGGAGACTGAAGTGTTCTCCTACAGGAGAGGTGGGAAAACTATGGCCCGCGGGCCACATCCGGCCTGCGGGACCGTCCTGCCTGGCCCTTGAGCTCCCGGCTGGGAAGGCTAGCCCCTGGCCCCTCCCCTGCAACTACGCCACTGCGCGGGCAGCGCTCTGGGTGGGGGGGCTCTGAGCTCCTGCTGAGCAGAGCAGCAGCATGTCTAGCTCCGGCCTGGCAGTGCGACTGCCATAAGGGGGCCGGGACCGGGGCCGGGGCGGGTTGGATAAGGGGCGGGGTGTAATGGGGGGCAGTCAGGGGACAGGGAGCAGGGGGCGGTTGGATGGGGCGGAGGGTGTGCGGGTGGGGGGGTCAGGGGACGGGGAACAGGGGGGGTTGGATAGGCGTGGGGTCCCGTGGGGCCTGTCGGGGATGGGAGTGTGGATAGGGGTCAGGTGACTGGGAGCAGGGGGATTGGATAGGGGTTGGGTCCCGGGGGGTGGTTAGGGGCGGAAGTCCTGGTAGGGGACGGTTAGGGGACAAGGAGCAATGGAGGTTGGATGGGTCAGAGGTTCTGAGGGGGGCAGTCAGGGGGTGGGAAGTGGGAGGGGGCTGTTTGGGGAGGCACAGCCTTCCCTATGCAGCCCTACATACAGTTTTGCAACCCCCTTGTGGCCCTTGGGCCAAAAAGTTTGCCCACCCCCGTCCTACTGGCTTTTGTATGTTACCATCCCTGATGTTTGATTTGTGTCCATTTATTCTTTTACGTAGAGACGTTCTGGTTTGGCCAATGTACATGGCAGAGGGGCATCGCTGGCACATGATGGCATATATCACATTAGTAGATGTGCAGGTGAATGAGCCCCTGATGGTGTGGCTGATGTGATTGGGTCCTCTGATGGTGTCGCTAGAGTAGATATGGGGACAGAGCAGGCAACAAGGTTTGTTATAGGGATTGGTTCCTGGGTTAGTGTTTCTGTGGTGTGTGAGTAATTGCTTCAGGTTGGGGAGTTGTCCGTAAGCGAGGACTGGCCTGTCTCCCAAGATCTGTGAGAGTGAGGGATCATTTTCCAGGATAGGTTGTAGAGCGCTGAGGATGTGCTGGAGAGGTTTTAGCTAGGGGCTGTATGTGATGGCCAGTGGTGTTAACAAACCTCATTGCCTACTCTGGTCTGATGAAACTGTTCTGGCAGTCTTTGTTTCTGGGGCTTATTCCTGCCTCCCAAAGCATAGCCGTGGGAAGTAGCTTTGCAGGGGGTGCCCCAGCACCCCTAGGTTTTATGCGGGGCCACTGACCCCGCGCCCTGCTCCCCAGCCACTGGCTCTGCACATAAAACCTGGGGATGTTTCCTGTGCCTATGCCCTGCTCCTGGTCCTCCGCCCGCACTGTGCTCCCCAACCCCTCATCTCACCTGGGGCTTGGGTCCTGGGTAGCGGCTCCACCTCCGCTCCCAGGCCTCTGCTCCCAGGGCCCACGCCACTCCTGGCCCTGTGCCTGGGTCTCTGCTCCTGGGGCCCTGGCCGCTGGCCCAGCTTCCCAGCTGTTGGCCCTGTGCCCGGGGCCCCACGTCCAGCTCCACAGCTGGGGCTCTGCTCTTGGCCCCACACATGGGGTCCCGGCTGCTGGTGCCTGCCTGGGGCTCCGCTCCTGGCCCCACGCCCACCCCCAGCTGTGGCCTCGGCCCCCTTTCCCCTGTCTGGGTCCCCCCCTCCCTGAGGCACAGCCCTGCTCCCAGCCGGGGGGTGGGGGAGGGACAGGAGTAAGGGGGCTGGCTTTCAGCACCCCTACTACTAAAAATGTTCCAGTGCCGCTCTGACCCCAAGGGCTGTGGAAGGGTCCCAATGGGGTTCAGGCCAAGTCAGAGGCAAGTGGAGTTCTCAGGCACGGGGCATGGGATCTGGGAAGCAGCCTGGGTCTCTGACACGCTTCAAACCAAACACACTGCTTCAGGTAGAATAAACAAATAGATTTATTAACTATAAGGATAGATTTTAAGTGATTATAAGTCAAAACATAACAAGTCAGATTTGGTCAAATGAAATAAAAACAAAACATGGGGGTGCTGGGTGTTTCCCTGAGGTACAGAGAGTTACCGCAAGTGGAGTTCCCAGGCATGGGGTGTGGGATTTGGGAACCACTTAACCAGCCTGGGTGGTTCCTGCACTTACGGTACTTCCCTAGGGATAGATTCCTGCCTCAGCAGGCAGAGCAGGCTATTTCCTCTCACCTCCCACAGCACGCAAAGGACTGGAGTGCTACCAAAACACTGATCTCTGTATTCTCAGAGCCAGCTGTGTTCCTTGCTGGCTCTGTGCCCACTCACACTCAATGACTGTCAGTGCCTTCACTCGCCTCTTGAGATTGGGGGCAAGGGAAGAAGTGTCCCCCTTCTCCTGAAGGAGGTTGGATGGTTGTTAAAGAACCGCCAACTGGCAGCAGGAGTGGTGATGTGGTGGGTGACAGAAGCAAATACTAGTTGGGGGAGTCACAAATTTCATTGATGTGGGATTATTGTCTGGGATGGGATGCAGAGGTCATTTATGTGGGGTTGGGAGCTGGGTGAGGTTTCAGAGGTATCTGACAGTGTAGCGGTGCAGAATTAAACTGATGTAGGACGAGAGCCAGGGGGGAACATGTGAGACTGAATTAGGAGACACACAATTGGCATCCATGTTTTTCGGGAGGAGATGGGAATCCTTTTGTCATCAAGCAGAACTTGATGCAAACATTCTAATTTTATTCAAATGTAACTTTTTACTGTAGCTGGGGGGTTTTGTGATGCGATATTGACAGCTATGGGGGCTGTGTAAGGAGTAGGACAGAAAACGCTCAGAGTGAACAGCTCCCTCATACTGGAGACATTTCTCACAATCCCAGAATTGCTCATATTTCAGTGTCAAAAAAATGAGAATGCAAAAGACAGCTTGAAAACTCGCACAATTTGTGAACTCCGAGTATAGTTTATTTGGTATAAATGACACAGAGAAACGTAACAACGTAGCTTCAATAATAAGGTAAGTTACTTCTGTAAGTAAGGATGGAGCTGTTCGTTATCCTGGGAAACAGTGACAAAATAGGTACGTGTAGATGCAACAGTGAATGGCAGGGATTCCTGGATAACATTTCTGTGATAACTTGTCTGAAATTAAAGTCTGTCTAATATGTACAGTGTGGAGTAGACTATTTGTCATAGTGAGACAAATGGCACTTCTGTATTTGATATATATCGTCTAAGGCACAATTCACTATAAGCGACATATAGGATCTTATGAATGACTTAAGAAGACACATTTCGTTTCTATTTTTTTTCTGATTGACTTGCTTCAGTATTGCTATAATAACCCTGATTCTCAGCTGGTATAAACTGAAATAACTCCGCCAAAGTCAATGTAACGAGGCTGATTTCCGCCAGCTAAGGATCAGGCCCTTAAAATGTATGCTCCATATAACTCTCTAGATTTTGCAATATCAATGAAATCCGGTCTTCGCCTTTCCTCTGTGGTTTTTACCTTCTCTGGTGCAGATTCCCTTGACAAGGTAGATTTCAGTTCAGACAGTGATAGCTAACACTTTCCATAGGAATATAGCTGTACAGAGAAATATAAACATACGCATCCTCCGGACAAAATATGACCCAAACCAATATCCATTGAAGGGACCTGTTGACTTCAAAGAGAATTGGTTTGGACTCTTATGCCCTGATATTAAGGACCTCATCCTGGCCTCCAGGCCTGCAGGCACAAAACTGTGCCATCAGCTAACTGCTCACGGCTGCAGGTGCGAACACTAGCACTTGGGCATCTAATCATTGCTTTGTGTGGCACCGCTGTAATTTAGATGCAATTAATTGCAGATGTAAATTTGCACGAGCACAAATAGCGTCTGAGTTGTAAAACCAAACCCTAAATATTGCATCCGGCGTTGGTTACAGTCTTCTAAAAATCTGGCAAGCCGCTGAGTTTTCTGTTGCTTGTCTTCACATATAACTTACTTCTCCAAGCTCTTTTTAGTCTATTTGCTATCTTTACGATCACTTCAACAATGTGCGCCTTTGGAAAAAATGCTGTGACTAAACAGAGAAGGAAAATGCATATATGAAACCCTGAAACCTAGATGTGCAATTTTTTATTAACACCACAAAATGCTGTGCAGAGCTTTAGCAAGTAAAGCATGGCAAACGGTATCATTTTTCAAGTGATTTTTGAAGCATTGTTCATATTTAAATATTCCAGTTTGAAAAATCAATAAAAAATTTGCAGGAAAATACTGCCTGGTCACCTTGAATATTTCTCTTTTGGCGCTTGACTTACTTGCATTCACTTTCAAGGCCTTTAAGAGCTTATCCCCACCCTACCTCACATCTTTCATTCAGTTTCAAGATGCTGAATCTTGCCGCCAGTCGGCCCAAGGTATCAGCCTTCATTGTTACATTTTCCAATACCTTTGTGCTCTCTCCCATGTGGCCCCCTCACACCTGGGAGAAGCTCCTCATAGACACCCACCAAGTGTGGGGGAGCAGGCTCAGCCCAGCAGCAGGATCCAAGCGCAGAGGGACTTAGTGTGGGGGGATCCAGGTTGGGGTGAAAAAGTTCTCTGTGGGGCAATCTGGGTGCGGGCGGCTCAGTGGGAGATCTGGATGCACAGAAGCTCATTGGTGGGTTCCAGGTGCAGGGCCAGTGGGACTCTGCAGGGGATCCAGGTGAAGGTGTTTGTGGCTCAGCGGGGAGGTCTAGGTGCAGGGGAGGTGGGGTTCATTTGGGTGGGGGTGCAGGTGGTTGGGACTCGGTGGGTAGGGTGTCTGGGGGGGCTCATCGGCGTGGTACAGATACAGGGGAGGTGGGGCTTGTCAGGGTGAGGGTTCGATGGGCCTGCTTAACAGGGGAGCCCCAGCTTCTGCCAAGGGGATACCGCATGCTGGGCTCCAGCTTCCCCCCTACCCCCGCTTGCCCCATCCCCTTCTCTTCCCCATCCCATGCCCCTTCCCCAC